TCGATATACATTAGATAGTGATGATTGCAGTGAGTTATCAGTACTTAGTAGGGTACCCTTTATTTTTTATTACAGCTTCACATTGACGTTTCATTGAGCTGACAAGAGTTTTAAGCTCTTCTTTTGTTATTACATGATGCCAGGAAACAATTATAGCCTCAATTAGTTCCCTTTTATTTGATGGGCACCTCGTTCGGACGAGAGTTTTCAAAGGGTGCCACAAATTTTCAATAGGATTGAGATCAGGATTGTTTCCTGGCCATGACAAACAATTTAATGCTCTTTGCACGAAACCACTCTTTCGATATTTTGGCCGTGTGGCAAGGAGCAGAATCCTGCTGAAAAATAAACAAATAAACGAAGCATTGTTGGGAAAGAGATCTCTGATGGAAGGTAGAAGTTTTGGTTCTAGAATAGTGTCAATGTATTTTCTGGCATTCAGTGTCCCATCGATGACATGAAGGTGACCAATACCATCTGGTGACATTCATGAACAAATCATAACATTAACTGGGTTCTTCACAGTTGCTTGAATGCAGTCAGGATGTAGCTCTTCTCCTATTCTATGTCTTACATATTTTCGCCCATCACTACCGAATAACGATATCTTAGTTTCATTACTCCATATAACTTGTGACCACTGATCATCTGTCCAATTAATGTGTTCCTTTGCCCACTGTAGTCTTTTTTATTATTATTATTGCTGAAAATTAAGGCTTTTTTCGTGGAATTCTACCTCTCAGTCCAGCATCTGTTAATCTTCTCCTGATTGTTCTTGAACTGACAGAAGCACCAGCATCATTCAGATCACTTCTGATGGCCGCTGATGACATTTTTCTATCTTGGAGACATAGTCTTCTTATTCTTCTGTCATCAATAGATGTGGTGCACCTTTTTCGGCCTTTTCCTTCTTTGTTTTTTTATTGAATTTGTCTCCTGATACATAAACAAAACTTTCGGACTCCAGATGTAGTCGCTGAACCACTCACCTGTCTTGCAATTTCAGCATAGGAAAGACCACTTTCTCGTAACACAATATTACATCTCTTTCTAGGTGTCCAATCTACTCTTTTATTTGATGTTATTGCTTCTTGACTAAATATTAAATATTTTTACAAAAATTCCTACTTTGTAATTGCAGTGGAGAACTGCAATTGTAACATGTAACAATGAACAATGTAACTGCAGAAGGAGAGGTCCTCCTTCTACAGAACAAAGAAAAATAATGAATTGTTTCAAGTGTAAACATGATGTCAGCTTCTACGGCAGTTACTAACATTTGATTGGTTCTCAGAACAAGAACAGTGATTGGCCAGGAAAGCTAGACATTACAAACCACTTCAAAACTGTGTTTTTTATTTATATTAAAGTACATATAACGTTTTTTGTATTGCAAATAATTGAATTTTCTGTTTTGTATTTAATTCAGTAATAAATTCTCTTTAACCCGCGAGCACACGCACTGATCCGACGAACACGAGAACACGCGCCGGGTATGTCATACCCGACTAAAAAGTTTGGAATTAAAAATTTGCCGAATAAAATTAATCGGTTTTTAAAAGAAATTAAAATGTAAAACCAAGTTAATACTTCATTTCAGACAAAATATGAAAGAATAAGGAGAGGTAAAATTATTTACTTACAATTTTTTTAACATTGTTTACAAAATGAGGTCATATGTTCCATACATATACTTTTGCTACAATTTTCACAAATGAATCTAATCTTTCTATCTTTTTTCTTGGGGCACTCTATACACCTCTTGTAAATAATTTAAGGTTTTTTTGGGGATGGTTCATTGTGTTAACATGTTTATCGGTGGTCAGTGTTTGTCTAGAATCAGGAACTACAGATGCTGGTCAGGTTTGTCTAGAATCAGGAACTACAGATGCTGGTCGTCGTTCATTTTGAACACTTTCTACTAGCTGCATCCCTAAGGCTTTGAGAAAAGTACGCCTGGTACGGTATTCCATTGGTGGTTCCTTCTTTGATAGTAGAATTATTCTTGCATTAATGGCAGCCACATTTAACACTGAGAAGAAAATCACCATAGGCCATCGACGTGCTACTCTTGGTGTAGAATACGCAGCTGCCATCTCATCTACAACATCGACTGCTCCTTTTGTCATGTTATAGAATGTAATGATTTCAGGATTTTTAGATTTCCCAGTAGATTCATCGATTTGATCGCCGGAATGCATTGTTGATAAACAGGAGCACACTCTTATTTTTTTTCGGCACATAAGATACAAGTGTTGCTTCTTTCTGAAAACCAAAAATTGAAGAATATACTTCTCTTTTCTTTGCCAGAAACTCAAGTGGGATTTCTCTGTTATTTTTACACATTGTACCTACTATCATAATTTTCTTCTTAAGGAGATCTTGAGATAATTCATATCCTATATACCAATTACCAACTGTTAAATTTCGACCAGAGTTGTATAAGGGCCTTATTAAACGTTTGACAACTTCGCTTGCACCTTTTAAAACTTGAAATGGCCCATCTGGTTGTTTACCAGCATAAATTTCCATACCCCAGGTATAAAATCCCTTTGCGTCTACAAGAGCAAATATTTTTATGCCATACTTTGCTGGCTTGTTGGGCATATATTGTTTGAAGGAACAACCACCTCTGAATGATTCCAACTTCTCATCAATGGTCACATACTCTCCTACAGTATAAGCCTTTTGGCAATTTGTGACAAAATTTCCGAAAACTTCTCTGGTCGGAGCTAATTTATCAGCGTTTCTTCTACTGGGACGATCTCTAATGTCATCAAAACGGAGGCATCGTAAAAGAAAGAGGAATCGGTTCACTGGCATTGTTTCCCGAAATATGTCCGTTCCCGTTCTGTCTGTTGCCCACAAATCTCTTCGTTTCATTATGAGATGATTTATAAACTCCACATAAATACAGCAATCCAATTAAAGCTTTGATTTCCAACTCATTTGTTGTTTTCGCATCCCGTTCACGAGTGAAACTTCCACGTACTGAATCAATATAAATATTTGTATTGTCGAAAACATGTTTTAACATATTTTCATCGATAAGCAGTGACCAGGAAACTAACGGTGTTGACACGTCTTTAGAATACTTCGTATTTTCAGGGAGTTTAGTTATAATATTTTTGGCTCCAATTCTAACATTAGTCCGGAATTTATTTTTGTTCCATTTTACTCCATTTTTTCCAACATAAAACTCATTGCTACATTCCAAAGTTTCATTTTCTGTTTCTGTATCTGAATCACTACTCTCTATGGATGAATCATAATTACTATTATATTCTTCATCATCAACATCTTCATCGTCTTCACTAAATGAATCCTCATCAGAAGAAACTGTTTCAAGAAGTTTTCATTTCTCAATCTTTTCATCTCTTCATTCTAAGGAATATACAGCACCATGCTTACAACTCAAGAAAAACCTATACTAAAAGCTTGAAAACGAGAAGTGCGAAGTGACTCACTGAGAAATGCGAGTACACGCGCGGGTATGACATGCCCGAGCAATGCTGTTCCTAAAAAACCGTTGCACCTGTCACCTCAGGAATTTCCCCCATTTAAGTATGTGACCTTGAATTCAGCTACACCAAGTTTCGTCCTTTTATGAAAGAATGGGTGAGAAATATACAAAAAGAAAAATGTACATGGGTATGACATACCCGTTGCATGTGCTCACGGGTTAAAATGATATATACAAGTTTGCATTTTGCGAAACGTAACATTTTCTATAAGCATACAATGTTCAAAAACAAAAATTTCCAAAAGCGTCCACAATTTTGGCCACCACTGTAAATAGACTGATAATGTTAACACATATCTTTGAGTTTTACACTGAAAAATGACTGATGTTTAGAGCTTCTTGCAATGCTTATAAACAGCTTTCTTGGGGCATTGTCTGATGAACAATATACGTGAAAATCATTTCCAAGACAAAAAATTTTAAAGGCTCACTTTTTTGCAAATTATGTTCCAATACTGCTTCTTTTGTAATATAAATACCTCTAAAATATTTTAAAATAAAATATAACACAAAATAGTCACTTCACAAGTAATGTGGCTTTTTACAGTAAATTTTAGATGCAAACACAAAAATCAAATTTAATTTTAGCCTTATTTACTACAATAACCATCTTAATTTCAATTTTTAATAATATGGTGATAGAAATTTTATTGTCGTAGTCAACCGAAAGAATTCAAATATAAGATTCCAAATTTTTCTACCAAGGTGTTTTTGAAGGTTTTGATTTCTTTAGAGAAATTATCTGACAACATCAGATAAAGAGAATATGGTGGATGAGACAAAATTTCTCATTTAAATTCTCTTAATTTGTTTAAATGTTCCTCATGCTATGGTGAAGTCATTTACTGCTGCTGAGGGAAAAAAAAAAATTCTGTTAGTGCTGATCTTTTTTCATCATCAACAATTGGCTTTACCCATGTCAGTTGTTAACAATACATCTTTTTAGAGATGTTTTTATTTTCAGACAGTAGTTCATTAAAAATTTCTTCTATATTCCACCAAACATACAGCTATACCTGTTTTGATCAACTCACCTTCTTTTATGTTTCACATTTCTGTAAAGGATCCATTTGTCATCATTAGCAACTATTTAGTTTAGGAATTGCTGTTTTTCTAAGAACAGTTATAATGCAAAATCTCATTTGTTATTTCAAACTCATATCTGGTGATCTATGCAGAACTTACTAAACAATTTTAACAACTTAAATGTGAATGGAGTCTAAATAAGTTGAGCAAAGCTGATAAAAACAATCATGCAGAACTTTATATTGTTGCAAATAAGGAAAAAAAATAATATTACATATGGACTGGCCCACTATGTATAACACTTGCAAAGTGAAAATAAATCTTATGTATACACATTCAAGCCATTTGGAGGCTTAATTGTTTGTGTAAGAGTGGTTATAAAAATCTCCTCCACATTGTTTTTGGTGAGTTTTCAGTAAGTACACTTGTCTGAAAATTACAGTAATCAACATAACATGTGCATAATAAGAGCACTTTTTTTTACATAAAAATGCTCTTTTATATTTAATATATCAAAACATATATTATGTAAATATCATCTATTTCTAAAAAAGGTCGTACATCCTTTTAAGTTCAATTATTGTCCCTTCAGCATTAAGGTGAAGAATTACAATTGACTTTTTCATAAAGACCATAATCAAAACACAGAATAATAAATGACATTATTTATTGTAAAATAAAACCAAAGATCTGATCATATCTTTCCGAGCTCTTCCGCACGGGCTTTCATGCGATTGATAAAAGCTTGGCCTTTGCTTTTACGAAAGTTCTCATATGGATCATTGAGATTTACACCTATACCTTTGTACATATCTTGCCGATCTCTCACATCACCAGCATCTACTGGATCTTGAATACCTTGCTCTGCAGCACCAAGGCCTGCACCAGACCAACCTATAGCAGGTAGAAACAAAAATTATTTTTATGAAACATTTACATATTGCAGGTAGCAAATTTATTAGCCCTCAAAGGAAAAAGGATTAGAAGAAATAAATAATTTTAAGATAAATAGTCAAAGAAGATTTCAAAACCTCTTCTTCCAATACAACTCTGCATTCTACAACTCTTTCGCATCCAGTACAGGCAAATACCCGTTTCACTCAAACGTCTGAAATGCCCATACATACGCCGCATTTTTGTTGGAATGCGTTTCCTTTCCCCATGCCAAGTAGAATGCTACAGAGCTAACAATAACCTACTTAAGTAAAGTGTTAACTTTTATCCTTGGGATCTTAGTGTGGTTTTACTACTACTTACTTAGGGTGTGGTTTTAGTACTACTTACTTAGGACAGGATTGCAGCTGTGAGCATTAATAGCTAAACATTGACAATAATCAAATCAAAGGATAAGGAAGGTGCACTCAAATAACAGAACTGCTTTTAGTTGCTTTGAAAGAATAATTGGCATTTCATTTAAGAACTCCCTAGAGCAATGAGCCATGAACTATGATGATAAGTAATGAGCAATGAGCCATGGTACTAGGTAGTACTAGGTAAAAAATTATTCAGGGGTTTGGACAACCTGCTGATGTCTGAATGGTCCGACATTTTGGGCGAATGTGATGTGAAAAAGTTGAAGTAAAATTACAACAGTCTCCTAACTTAACAAACTTGTAATAAACCAAATATCAAGAACTGCTATACATTCATCATGAGTAAAGAAAGTTAAAAATCAAATGAATACAGAATACACTAAAATGAAAAAACGACCGAATGGCAGAAAGCTACTACAGTCAAAAGTTGTTAATTCGGACACCCATAATCCGGAATGATCTATAATCCGGACCTCAAAGCTACAAAATTTCTGCGCATGCGTCGCGTAGACGCATGCGCGTAAGACCTTTACAATTGCGAATATGCGTGTGCGCATGCTCATAATACGTTTATGCATGTGCGTTTAATGTATAACGGACGGTATAAGCTAAGCTAAAATTATCTAATTCAGTTAATGTTGCAGATTGCGTTATTCCTTAATCTTCGAATTGGATCCAGCTTATTATTTTTTGCAGACTGTTAGAGAAATTTTATAAAAGTAAGCTTGAACTTTCGATTATGTCAAATAGAATTTCCGATATATATTTACTAATATGTAAAGGATCTACAAAGCGAAAGTATGTTTCGAAGTCCATTAAACAAAAAGTGGAATTGCTGCAAAAAATTGATAAAGGCATATCTTTCGTTTCTCTAACCATTCCGAAATCTGTTTATCAATTTCACGCTGCTCTCCGGCGGCGGTGGGGGAAACGCCGCGGCGCACAATGAATTGGAAGTTGATCTGTCAGCACTATCCTTATCTTCAGGGCAGATGTTTTTATTTTATTTGGCTTATAATTCCTTACTAAATGTAGTATTTCATCTCGATGTACTCCGTCTTTGATATGATTTAAATCAAATTCTTTGTCATTATAATTCGCTTCCGATAGTGAAGAAAGTGACACAGAGGTTATTGAAAACGAAAAAATTTCGATTGACAAATTAGTCGGTATTCTCGACACAGCAATTATATTACTTGAACAGCGGAATTTTGTAACTGAAGAAAAAATTATGTCTGTTTATAGAATTAAAGAAAAACGATGCAACTTAAACAACTTACATTGAAAGAAATGTTTAATAAAGTAAACAAATAAATATTAAGCCTTTTTTTTTTTGTAAATTTTGATACCCTTTAGATCATAATTGTTCTTTATTTCATAAATTACGATTTCACATTTTTAATTTTATAATTTCTGCATGCCATTTTACCAGATTTAAACTGATGATCTATAATCCGGAAAAATCGATAATTCGGAATCGCCAAGTCCCGACGAGTCCGGATTAACGACTTTTGACTGTATTCTTAAAAAGGAATGCTTTCTCATACTATCAGTAAAAAACATTGAGATAGCTTGAGTCTCGAAAAGTCTCTACATAAAAAAAGAACAAGAATGAATACTAAAATATGAATTAGCGGCCTTAAAAAAACAAGGGCAAAACTTATTTTTGGTTAGTTGAAACAAGAAAGCCAAAAAAAGTTTTAATACACCTTGATTCCATTCTATGGCATTAATGTATTCAATAATGAAATTAACATAAGAATAACACATCACATCAATGTGCTTAAAAAACAAGGGGATGGGGAAAACTTCTTTTTGGTTAGTGAAACATGAAAATTGAATGATTCTTAATAAGCCTTGATTTTCTTCTACAGAATCAATAAAGATTTGCATTTTATAATGAAATTAACATTTTATAATGAAATTAACATCCACAAAAAATATCACATTTTTGTCAAGAAAGGAAAGGTTTCATCAACATGGTCAGCAAGAATGGAACTGAGATTTACACAGCAAACTCTACTTAAGCCTGTTACTTCAAAATATGAACTTCAAGATTATTTTCTGCCACTTGATTTGACTCATAAGGATGGACACATAACAGCTTCAGGGGAAGGGGGAGGAAGTCAAGTTGCCTAATTTGTTTACTTTATTCATTTCCATTTAGCATATTCTACCACCTGAAAAATGCAAAAATGAATGCTGACTTGACAACCTCAAATAATGTACAGAAAGTAAATGACATGCAAAGATGACAATACTATACTTCATGACAAGCTAACCTGAGAACACATACAAGGTTGGAATGACCTTTTTACGGCTTTTCACCCTGTTCTTCAAGTTATACATATGCACCAAACTGCCCAAGGAAATTAAATTCCTCCAATTCGCTACACATTTAGCGACTTCTTGCGAAAACCAGTGTATTTTTAAGTAACAAGCATTTTATGCAATGAAGCTGCAGTTGAAATTGTTAGTTAATTGTAGTGTACAATGTAGGGCATGTTATTGTCTTAATTTATATGAAATGTTTCACTCTAATCTAAATATGACGCATATGAATTTGATGACATTTAAAACCCGAATCATTACTTAAAACTTGAAACGGAAGAGCTAACAATGTATTCCTTGTAGTTTGGGTTAAATTTTTTTCCCAAGACCGTTCGCTCAGTTAAAAATAAAATATATAAATTTAGAAAATCTGGTAGAAGTTATTTTCTTTCAATTTTTAAGAGTTTACACAGTTTGTTGCTTCTGAAACAGTGAACCAGAGAAAAATAGCGATTTTTATTTTCTAGAGATGTTAATTTGATTTTAATTTACGATTATTTAAAAACTCTGATTATATTTTGTGACAGACATCAATAAAAATTATATCCTGTATTGTCTCCTAAGACACATACTCTTCCAGTCCTGCCCAGACAATCACTTTCCTACAGTAATTCTTATCCTAATAAATAAAAATACTGGAAACTGAGATCTTCGGATTACAGTCTAACAACTAAAGAGTTTACATTAAAAATTTCAAGATATTAGAAAAATATTAAAAACTTTAAAATTGTTAAACAAACATAAAAATTAAGACATAAATGATCTTATACCAATCAGTTAAAAATATAACATTAGAAAGGTCTTTTGCTAGTTATAACGAAGAGCAAATGTTCATATGAACTAAATTATTAAAAAATTAAACTGTAATGTAATGACTGTAAGCTCTGCATTGGAGCATCTCAGTGTATTATATAAAAGAAGAAGTCCTTTACCCTTATAAAGTCTCCACGAAGACATCTCATCCTTTAGACAGAAATCCTTGTTCCTTCTAACATAGTTAATTGATCAGTACTTCCATATTGGTTAGGTTATGTGATTTGAATATGGCAAAGCACAGAGCTATCTGACTACGGGGTGAGATATATTTGTGGAGGACTTTCTAAAGGGAACGGGTGCATATTCACGTTATACATGGGAAAAACCACAAAAACTGACCATGAATCCAGCTTGTTCGCTTGGATTCAAACAATGTCAAACTACCAGTATTCAGCGATCTTAAACATTCGGCTACTGGTGGGACACTTTCATATTTTATTTTCTAATGGATGTTAGCTTGTATTTATAATGTTATTTATAACTGTTTATAGTTCTGCCTTTTTTTAAATTTGCTGCCTTGAAAATCACCCTCATATTTTTAATTTGTGGTCCTGAAAAGGGCCTTTTTTAAACTGAGGTATTCAATCCCGCCAAGATCATCGTTTGAAGAATCTGAGCTATCCGACTCATCAATATTAAATTGCACGCACTCAACGGTGTTCTCCATGAGACAAATTAATTTCCACATTTTCTTTTCCCCTTCTATTACATGCCTCCCGCATTTAGCCCATTACATAGGAGTCACCAAATTAATTCTTTTCTCAATCAATTTACGGACTTCGTCCTTCTTAAAAGTTATGTTTTCCGATATTTCATACCCTGATGATGCAGATGCCATGACAATTGCTTTTTTTCTCCTCCCGTACAGTGAATTGAATGAATGCTTTAATTGCTTTTCTCATTGAGAGTGGGGTGAAGTCGGGGTTGCTGGAGTTTGCAGTTTCGCCAATAATGCCAAAAAAAAAAAAAAGGGGGGGGGATGTCTTCCTGCTGGTCATCGAATAATTGACATGATTTAGCAAATTTTTAATTAAAAAGCTGGACGCAAAGTAATCTATCATTTTACACATTTTTTCACTTATGTTCTCCTTGTTCAGCAGTATTCATATTTCACAGCACAATTTTTACAATATTACTTCTTTAAACGGTAGAACTATATTCTTCGGCGGACACTTACACTTTCTAGTATATCCAGTGTTCTCAACTTAGGTTGACGCGTAGTATATAGTTACGAGTGCAAATGGGAGAGGGGGAAGCAATGGAACTGTAATTCATAATAATAATTAATCAAGAAATTCTAGAGGAAGTCAAACACACTTTTGCTAGGTTATCTCATTACAGAAAAATACTATGAAAGTGGAATGCTTTTATGGACAGCTTCCTACGAATACTTTATTCGTGTGTTACAGAGAAGGAAGATGTGATAATTAAACACAGCCAGTCATTCAGCAATGAGATACTGAGCTTAAACCATGAGTTCCACACCTTTAGCCACTCAATCTCCAAATTTAATTAAGGAAAAATATTTAAATTTATCAAAAGAAAATTCCAATAATCAGTTTGAAGAACTGCTAAACAACTAAAAATGGCATGCAATTAAAGTGGAAAATCTTTCTCTGCATTGCAGGCATGAAAGTGCAAGTTGGCAAAAAAAAAAGCTGAACAACGTGCGGGCACAAAATTACACAAAAACTAATTGCGCACGCGCAACCTCAAAAAAACACATTTTAATAAAATATCAACCTTTTAATATAAAAAGTATTAAACATACACATATAATTAAACTAATACTTGTACTTACTATTTTGCTATTAATTTTATCTTGTAAAAAAAAAAAAAAAATCCATAAACACCAAGAGATTGTAATGAATTAACCTTCTTTAAGATGCTCTTTATGCAACTTAATTTAACAGTTGATACATGAATACTGTACACAACATTACAACACACTAATATACATATTTATGTTACATATTACTGCCCATTTTCAGGCAATGACAAGTTTTAGAGATAAAATATATATATAACTGTTACTATAGCTTTCAATTATCTTCACTTTTAGCTCAATAGACAGTACTTTATAAAACACCAGAAAAAGTAGTCATATGAGATAATATAGTTACAAAATAACATATAGTTAAAGGAAGAATACAAAAAATAACTATTTTGTCTCAGTCTCACTCGATCCTGATTAAAAATTTTTAGGGAGAAAGCTTTTTCTTTTTTGCTACTTTTGCAGCCAACTTTTCTAATTTCCCTTTGCGAGCTAGTCTCAATTTCTTTTCATCAGCTTTTATACAATTCATTGATACTTTTTTATTTTCTTATTTATTTTCTGCAATGTTTAATAACTTTTTTTTTTCTTTTTGTAGATTCTCGCTCCTCCTTTTCTATCTCTAGCTCTTCTTTGTACAGTTTCTGAACATTCCTTAAATTTTTACATAGAGTTTTGTGTACTGGAGAATGCAAGTGGGTATCTGTATGTCCGACAGATGGCGCCAGCACTGATCGCCGAAATTATTGAAGTCAGCTCTTGTTTGACGGTTGCTTGCTCTACTTTGATTCGATATTCGTATGCATCTAGTTCCACCTTTCACATAAGCCCCATCTACTTCGCCTTGATGTGAAACAACGTATTTCGTGATCTCGGCTCAGGCAAACTCGAAAAGCTCGCAACGAGGGGCGCCGGTGTTTGATCGCTAACCCCGTGTAATATTATTTGATTGCATGCTGTAAAGTTTTTTTACAAAGAAAAGAGGAAGAGAGAGAGCATGTCCTCCATTTACTGGTCACAATTTCTCAACGGTTCTGCATGGATCTCAGAAACAGCCCGGGTGACGTTCAAAAAAGCGGAATTCCATGAAAACGCAGAAAACTTTCATGCTTGATTAATACTTAATAAAAACTAAGTCTAATCAATCTCCAATTTATATCTTATACTCTGTATTACTTATGGTCTGTGCCTGATTTAGCTATGGGCTAGTTGTGTTCTGAACTAGCTCTGCATCTGAAGCCTCATTCTCTCACATCTAACAGAAATAAAACTGCATACAAATATTCTCTAATACTACTGCTCACTAAGTTTATTGATACATTTTGGCTAAAAGATAAACAGAATTTCTCCGTGTAACAGATAAGGCAGGAAATAACAGAAAAAAAATTTAATGCTCTTAACAAAAACACAAGGAAGTTAAGAAGGAAGAATTTCCTACCTGGAAAATGGTGTCTAAACTATGTTATTTTTTAGAGTCCTAAGTCAATACTAATTATTCTAAGTCAATATTAATATACAGAACCAATAATAATCATTAACAGTAAATTTGGGTTTAGAAATATTATAAAAATATAACAATGTTATTTTACCCATTTTCTTAAGAAGTTGGTGCCCTTTATTACTCTCATCAAGACGACGATCATGGGAATTAGATGACCCAGAACCCCTAAAAAGAAAGATAAAACACAATTAATTTTCAAATTTATTGGATTTTGCAATTACTCAAATTCTGATAAAACATGGCAGAAATATGCCTAAATTATATTTCTTAGCACATTATTAAAGATTTCAAGACTTTTAGCCTTATTCTATCTCAGCACTTCATACCAACTTTTTATGCAAATTTTAGTTGAATCACCTTCTGAATTAAATATACAGCATTTATAAATATATTTCAAAATACTTCAGTCCATAAATAAAATTCTAAGATAAAGTTAAACCAATAAATTCTCTCAAACATTTAATCCTTTGACTAATTAAAAAAAAAAAAAAAAAAACCCACACACACCCCATTTTCCATTTAAGTCAACAAAATATGTCATGAATACAGTAAATTTAGCATTTGGGACTTTTTGACAAATGGTTTTCAAGCCAAAGGCTGAGACACATATGTCCAAGCCGTAGATAATGGTGGAATACATATGTCCCACATATAGCGATTGATTTACTAGAAGCACACCTTATTATTCTGGGAAACTTGATTATATGAAATAAATTTTACATCGTATGGTACAGGGTAAAGCATACTTTGCGTAACCAAACATCACCCATTGGGCAATTCATATTTGTTCTTTTCTCTACATTCATTCAAGTACAACGAGCACAGCGGCATCTTGATTTTTAAACTATTGGAAGATGATCCCCAACAATCAGGAAATTCTAAATACTTTTTAAACCAGCAGTAATATTTAAACTTTTAGTGGGGCATATATAGTCAAAGGGTTTAATAAATATTAAACTTATAATTAAATAACAAATAGAAAATTCAATAAATTACTGACGCATTCTAACAGTTAATACAAATACTAACAAAGGGAAAATGGATTTTTTTTTATCAGCCATTAAAATGAAAAAAATTTTTAAGTTAAATAAAACAGAATTATTTAAGCAACTTAATTTCAAATAACTGTTAGCTTATATTTTTTAGATTCACAAACTATCATAAATAAAATACATGATTATATACATAAAGAAAGAGCTATGAGTGCTAATATTGTTAAGTTTTATTATAAATAAATAAATATTATTCTTTTAATTACACTTAATAATTAAAAACTATTTGTATTACATACATAAATGAAGGTGGAGAAGGACTACGTTCTGGAGAACGCCCTTTATCAACGGGTGATCGCGACCTTGAACGAACTCTAGATCTCTGAAAGTGAGGTCTCTGGGGGGATGGTGATCGGGATGAACGCCGTGGAGGAGCATCTGGTGACCTTGACCTAGACCTGGATATGGAACGTGACCGTCTTTTCCCTTTACTGCCATTCTTAACAGGTGCTGGCGTTTCTGTTTCAGGACTGAAAAATAAAAAATGCCACATTTAAATTAAATAATTTTTTTAAAAAAATCAATAAACACTGAATATTTTTCATACAATCTTTAAATGATATATTGAATAACAGGAAGTAAATGAATCAAACAGAACAAACTGAAACTAATTGTAGGCCTTATGGTAGCTGAGTAACATATTTTTCCAAAATTAATTACATTAAAAATATGATTTTTTCCCCTACAACACAATTCAACACATATACAAAAGTATAATTACGTTCCAACAGTATTTTTACAACTAAAGAAACACTGAAGAATAGTTATAACCCTGCAAAGATACAAAAGTGAACTGAACAATTAAAAGCTAAATTGGGAATTCATTAAAAAGGAAATGGTCAGCAGCACATTACATCTGTTTGAATTTAAAAAAAAAAAAAAAAAAAGGGGGGGGTTATATTTTCCTCTGAAATTCCACTAAATTTTTTACCTTACTTTTTTGACGAATATTTAAGACATTTCCCTATGGTCAGTGATAGATTTTTTTGCTGTTCTGTGCGAACTCTGCCGCTCTTAAATTCTATTGCCGTGTGCTTCCTTGGGTTCTAACAATTTTGGTGCTTTTAATGGAGCTGACTCTACATTTTTCCCTTTAAAATTTTTAATAGTTTAATTCTGCCACCATGTTTTCATCAAATGTTTCCGCAAATTTTCCTTCTTTTCTGCTGACACATCTCAGTTAGACAGACAAAATCTGATGTGTACACGATGACTTCCTTGTATGGAATATTAAATTATACATACTTTTTTCTTACATTTCATTTAAAGTTATTTCCTCGAATTTCAATACAGATATATTTCTCATTCAATTAATTCAGTTCTCACTTTGTGACAAGGCAAAAATAAATAAAAAATTATCTTTGTTAAAAATTGAAAGATGTAAAACACCAAATGCAGTTAAAACAATTAAAAATCCAATTTTTACAATTAAAATTACAGTTTCTATGCAAAAACAAGCAGTTCGCCCAGCAGGCAAGAAGGCAGATTTTTGGGTGCACAAAACTAAAAATTTCCTTTTGGTCTTACTCGGCAAAAAGACACTGAAGGTGCAGAAAGACTTAATTTACTATTCTGCTAAGTTTCAAATGTAAAGAAATATGGCTGCCATGACAAAAAAATTAGGCTTAGCTGCACTTAAAAACTTTTAAATTGTTAAGTATTCTACAACTATTCCATGCAGATTAACAAAAGTCATAAAATACTCAACCGGAAGAGGAGAACACCATAACTCAACCATTTTTAAAGCAAAAAATGCACAATTTACCAGCATATAAGAATTTAAAAAAAAAAAAAAGAAAGAAAAAGAAAAAAGAGAGCTTAGTGAGCCAAGTAACAGAGTGGGTATATATGTATGTATATTTACTTTTGGTGCGGCTGATTGCAACCAAAAAGGGAGGTGAACAACTACATGTTATAGCTGTCCTATAAACAAAATTTCAACATTCTGAGGCTACTCATTTCTGAAATATGCAAGATACATACATAGGTATGTATGTACAGATGACACAAAAAGAATCTCTTCTGAATCTATTTTAAATCAGTTTTACAATTCGTTTGGAGAAAAAGAGTCCTTTAAGTACAGATCTCATACAGAAACATCATTAAATTGCATATGATAGCAGTCAAAATGGATATTTTCGTTGAAACAAGATACTAGGAATTTCTCGTGATTACAATACTTTGTATAAGGAAGTAAAAACGAAAACAGTGACTTGCGAAGGTCTGATCCACAAGAGAAAGGTTGGGATGCTTTAAAAAGAATTTTTATTACTTTCGAAATTTATAATTTACTTGTTGACTATTTTAGTAAAGATCACTACATTACTTTCTGGCCATAAAAAGGCAAAGCTCTAACATTAATTTCATTATATGGACTTAACAAATACATTGTTTCAAAGAAAGACCATTGTTTCATTCCTAAATGTTTTTCAAATTTTATGTACAAATAAAATATGGTTAAGCAAACCATACAAAAACAAATCCTTTCAATTAATATATATAATAATTGCTTACTTCTTGTGGATTAAAAAAAAATAATGGAACAAACGTTACAATAATGAAGTTAAATTTTAACCAGAAGAAAACATCAATAAGGAATAACATTTTACTTAATATCAAAATTCATTTGGAAATATTCTTTACCATTTTAAATTAATATTTTGCACAAAAAGGTCCTAGTTTTTCTCATATCAGAGATGTATAATAATGTAATAAAGTGAAAAAATAAATACAAACATTTTCCCATTTTTCAGTTCAACAGATTTTCTCATTTGCTTCATATTCTGGTAATTATTTTATTGTTAACCTAGTAAGCTTCCTAGTAAAACCTAGTAAAAATCTCTTGAAATTTTAAATATTTTATTTACATTCTTTTATGCCATTTTCATATATATTAAAATATACCTCTACACTACTATTTATACTGTACATTGTTTTCTTCATTCATTTCAATTCAGTTTAATTAAAAAAAAATAAATAAAAAAAATAAAATAAAAAAAAAAAAAAAAAAAAAAAAAAAAAAACAAAAAAAAAACTGAAAGTTTCCAGATTTATATTATGCTCAAACAGGTGATTTTTCATTTACAGACACATACACGTTTTGAGAGCATGTGGGCTAATGCCATATTGTACTAAAAATATTTAAAAACAACATACCTTTAGAATTTCTGATAGACACTCGAGTGCCGAAGATAAAAATGTTTTATTCTCTACAGTATTGCCACCGCTTACTTTGAAATTGTTGAGTTTTTTAATCAAAAATTCATTAAGTTTTACAAAATATGAAATAGACAATAAAACAAATCCAGAATTCAAAATTTTGGCTTTCAGGTGCCTATGTTCGAGTGGACGACTATGTTATTCAAAATTTGATGGCCAAGATGGTAAAAAAATATAAAAAACTTATTTCATTGTCCAAAAAACCATCAAAAACTGTTTTGGATTAATTCAAAATATTAAAATACATAAGAACATTCCTCCGGAAAAATGCTTAAATTTGCATTACATAACTAGAAAAACCTACAAACCCCTTGCAGCCAATCTACAGAAAATGAGCTGGGAAGAGCTGCCAGTTTCTGAGACTGGAATTTGTAAGCCAAAATACATTCATTATGTTCACACTATGTCAAAAACAAAAAAATTAATACATTTTGAAAATGTCAAATTCATTAATAGTAAAAGCATGAAATGATCCATTTTTTTAAAAATTAAACTCATTATATGTTTTAACCCTCTTTACCGCAGAGGATATATTAAAAATAAATAAATAAATAAATAAAGCAATGTGGATGGCACAATGTCAAAAACCTTTTGATATTTTATTACCTTTTTATTTCTCGATATCTTCTACGTTGTGGCTTTTTTTCCGAGAATCCTTGCAATGCTGGTAGGTCCATAGAAGTTCCATAGTCACGATCATCATTTGAAAGACCTTTCTGTTTTTTTGCTTGAGCTTTGGCCTTGAAAAATTCATATAGACCTAACTGTTCCCACCCTTCACTGGATATAACATATGCACTAAAAGGGAGAATACAATTCATAAATTCAGATTCATCTGGAATTCTTAAGTCAGAGGCAAATAAATTGCCTTATTAAGCAATATTAAGAAATCACAAAACAATGAAATAAAAAAAATATTTAAACATCCTAAAAAATATGCATGCAGAACAATAGCACATTATCAGAACAGAAGCTCATAAATAGCACAAAAACATACTGTGTGTGTGTGTGGGGGGGGAATAAATAAATCTCAGTTTATGAGTATGCAAATGGAAAATTTGGAATGCAAATATCTTCTGACCTTCATTTAAAAATTATTATTATTTTAAATCCTTTAACAAATGTATTCAGCTTATAGTCTAAAAAATAGCTTTATGCATGATTTAAGAAATTAAAAGATTTTATAATTAAATCAAGAAATATATGTCAGTAAATGCATTTTAAACATTATGGGCATAATGATAATATAAAATGAATGCAACTGCGAAATTAAGAAATACAATATTCCCACAATTTTATGAACAAACATGACATTAATCACTAGAAATGTGTAAACATTATTTAACAGTTTTAAATTTCTACAAATTGAAAATCTGAATAGATAAACTAACTTATTTCGAGCTCTTTCATGAGTAGGCGGACAGTAGAATTGTTCAACAGCAGCAAGAAGCCGTTCTGTTGGTAATGCTGGTGGTGGTAGACGAACATCATCTGGATCCAGAGGTTTATCATAATCTGTGTCCTCTAACTGCAATATATTAATAACATACCATTAAACAGTGTTACACAATTCTACATTCATTTGAATGCATTTTTAGCAAACAAACAGATCATAAAAAGTTTGCAATAATTAAATCAACATGCTTATCATTAGATTAAATTAGTTAATAATGACAAATAACTTTTAATTAATTTTATTAAAGGGCATTATGCAAGGAGTATGGTTTCATGCCAATCTTGTAAATGCAGAAAATCATGAAAAATCATTCAAACAGTTGCATTTGGTCACCAGAATAAAACTGTAATGATTTCATAGTGGTCATAAATCTTATCTACTTGGCAAGCTAAATACCATAACTGCTTTTAAATTTGATTTAGAAAACAATTTTATTTTTTACTTTTCAGATACTTTTTGTCACATATTTTCCTCATAGGAAATTTAAACTAGAATAGTAAACAGGATTTTTTACAATATTTCATAGCCCATTATTTTTCCTAACTATATCAGAAAGAAAATTCAGTGTTTCTAGGGTTTGCCTATTTTTTCAGATACAAAAATTAATCTTAAGTGTGATTTGCTTTAAAAATAATTGAGGAGGAAAGATAAGATATTACTTCAAAATGTCTAAAATCTTATGAGCCAAAAGAACAGTGCAAACAATTGCATATAGAGCCAAGAGATTCTAAATAATAATTTACAACATAAATTCCTCAAAGAGTTAATAACATCAATTATTTGCTAGCTAGTCTGTGAATGGAAAGTACTTTCTTAATGAAAACAGACACATGAAAGATGGCTACAGTTAAATTATTAAATGATTCATAATAATGCCATCAGTGAGGTTAATTGATGAGACATTTAGTCAGACAACTTATATTTTATCATCATGCACCATGAAAACTGTTGTTTGAAAGTTTATAAGCATTGAGACATTATAAAAACCACATTATGAGGGCAGAAAGGGGGGACAATGAAAGATAATAAATAAATAAATAAATAAATAAAAAAAAAAAAGGGGGGAATTTTTTATTTACATAATTATGTTAAATAAAATATTCAAATTTGTCACAAATGTAGAAGAAATCAAAAAACTTATTGTATAAAAACTTGGTGGCCCCGAGTCCAAAAACAGATAACCTCATTTCAGGCATCCTACAAAGAATGGAAGCAAGATTCAGCTGCAGGTGCGAAAAAAGGTAGAAGTCCGAAGGAGCGATGTCGGGGCTATACGGTAGGCAAAAGATCCCATTTGAGTCCATGCAGTGAATACAGACACATGTGGTCTTGCATTATCTTAAAAGAACATTACCTTTTTGCGCCGGAACTCAGTTCTACATTTTTCCTTGACAGCACTGCCAACACGGACTAGAATCTCACTGTACACCTTACTGTAGAGGGTTTGACCTTTTTCCAGATACTCTTTGTGGATAATACCATGGCAATTCCATCAGATACAAAGCATGATCTCTTCATTATTCAAATTGCACCTTGCGACACTGCCAACAGACTCACAGGCTACAGAGCAACCTCCTTTTTGCCTTGTGTTGTTGAAGCAAATCTACTTTAATCAAAAGTGACAATCCTGTGCAGAATTTTGTCTTTGTGTTGATATTTGAGCAGATAAGTGCAGACCCAACCACATCTATCCTTATCTGCTTGAGTCAGCTCATGTGGAACCCAGCAATTGAACTTGTACATCAAGTTTATGTGATGCATAGTGGGACTTATGGACTGGCACTAACATCTAACTCCTCAGCAAGCTCTTGAGTGGCTGCATACCTATCTTCTGCAAGTTCTCGCAGGCAGGTCTCATCAACATCAGTAGGCCAGCCAGAGCACATTGCTTCTTGAATGTCATAGTCATTGTTTTAGAACTTTCAGTACCCAACCTTCACAGTGTCATATGATGCAACATTAATACCTAAAGCTATACACATGATTTGGTGGCATTCTGTAGGGTGACTTTAGCAACAGAACTGGAAGTAAATGTTAATGGTTTTAAACTAGAAGCGTGATAGGCTCCCTTTCAGATACCTTGTACTTAATGATATTTTTTTACAAATTTCACAACACAGTGTTCTAAAGCAAGTCTCTTTCTTTCAAATGCCAAAAATCGTTTGACAAAATATGATTAAACAGGACAATGTGAACTGTTTGCACAGATGATATTTATGGTGGTGGAAAAATTTTCATTAAAACACAATATTTCATCAATCATGTTACAGTGTTATTGTTTTTTTCATAAGGCTTACAAGATAATTTGCTTACATGATAATTTTCCTTGATTAATCTTAAAAATAATTTTTACAAACACACACACACACACACAAAAAAAAAAAAAAAAAAAAAAGTCCACCGCATTTTTAAAACATTTAAACTATAAAATTTTTTAGAGACAGAGAGAGAAGCAGAGAAACTTTTCAGGGATTTTACTTACTCTGACTAAAGGTACCATTAAACCAGCTGGAAGATCATAGTATGGAGGTGCACATGGTGGAATAGCAGGTTCCATGTATTCTGGTGGAACATCTTGAGGACCGATACCTGAAAAATGCAGTGAATCTAAGCATGAAAAAAATGCACTTGAATTAAAAAATGACAACTTAATTAATTCTGATAATCCCCCAATTAATAAGATTGGAATCAACAGAATACAGTTGAGATACCATACTTATGCTAGCCTTTAAATCCAATTTCTTTAATCACAAAGAGTAGTTTTTAGTGCCTGTATGGACTTAAACATACAGATATTGATATATTAAAAATTTAATCTGTGTGCACAATTGTTTTTCAAACTACAGCCATATAGTTTTTTAATACGGCAGAAAATTATCTGTAATATTGTGTACTTGCTTACACACATTTTTATTTCGCTCATAACTTCTATTAGATAAAGAGAGATAGCTATATACACTTAAAAGTTATATAACTTAAAAGTTAAGGAACAGCATGTTTTTTGTGTCTAATTTGAGAATGAAGCAACACAGTAACAAGACATTTACAGGACATGTCCAGTAAACAGTCTTTAATGAATGCAACATATAATTTTTCTAAAGTTCAACAGAAAACATGAAACAGAACAAAAAATTGCATTCTTGGCAGAGAAATTCAATCTTGGAGTAAAAGTATATCACAGTTTTTTGATGGGGTGGTTATATTACAAAAATGGGTTCTAATAAGAAATGTGTCCACCCCTAGCTGCAATACATTAGCAACAGCAATGTTCCATGCTCTCAAATAAGCAGTCGGTCAACAAAATGGGAAGCAATGACCAGACATGGAGTAATCCTTATTCAAGCTCATCCAAGGACCTTGGAGGAGGACTTGAAGCAGCAACCTGTCTCCCAAGGTAGTCCCAAAGACGCTTTATTGGATTCAGGTCTGGGGATTGAACTGGCTATTCCATTCGCTCCATACCATGACCTTCAAGATATTCTTCAGCAACCCGAGCTCGGTGTGGTCGGCATTGTTGTCCATCAGCAGAAATACAGGACCAATAAAAGGCGGCATATGGGCGGATCAAGGATTTGTCTTGATATCTCACACTGGTCAAAGTTTCTGCATGGAACACATGCAGGTCAGTGCGCCTACCGAATGATCCCAGTCCAAACCATTATTCCACCACCTCTGTAATTGTGTTTTTCCACAATGTGGGATTGCTTGTATGCGGTGTATTGTTCCCTCCAGATCAGCTGATGACCTGAACCACTTTCCAATGCAAACCTGGACTCGTCTGTTAAGAGAACAGACGCTAATTTTTGATTGGTCCAAGAGACATGTTCTCTTACCCAACATAAATGGGCACCTCTATGTCCTTGGGTCAAGGGACACAAACAACTGGTCATCTTGCATTACATGATCTGAGGCACAATAATGTTACTCCTTCTTCAGGCCGAAAGAGCTAAATAACGGTCTCCCACAGGTGTTGTAAGTCTAGGTCTGCCTGGAACATGTCTTCTAGACACAGAATCCTCAGATACAAACCGATTCCATAGCAGATGAACCTCACTACAAGAGACATTGAGACGAGCAGCAGCATCAGCTTGTGACATCCCCATTTCCATCCATTCATTTGCCCACTATCTCAATGAATCGGGTAAGTGACTTCTCCTGGATATTGTCCAAGAAATTGTAATAACAACTGAAGATCCACAATTGTGAACAAAAAGGAGAATTTTTGCATTTTTTCTCCAACTTCAATATACGTATGCATTTCTATAAAATAAAAGTGGCAGCTATTGTTTTTGCATATATTTTCTTAAACTTTGTTACTGTCATGCATATGAAGTGTGAATTTAAATGTTACTGACATTTTTGTAATGGTGAGTTCTGAAAAACATGCTGTTCCTTAACTTTTGGAGGGCAGTGCATTTCTCAAGTGAAGGCTTGTATGCATGTTGAAACTTGAAATAACATTATCAGACAGAACTTTCCAGTAGATCTTACACAAACAGTATTTTGACATTACTCACAGTTTTGAACCATAATCATATCTCTCCCTTAATACCTTAATCATAGAAATACAGCAACTCCTATTTAACAATTAATGCCTGTACACATCTTACTTGGTTTAGCCCATGCCGAGCTCAAAAGAAATGAAACGTAATATGCTCAGCAAGGAAGCAGCTAGAAATATATATATACAGCAGTGCTTGGACAATACAATCCAAAAACAGCAACTGGAATGACACTAAGGTGGCACAGTAAGACCAACATATGGTTTCATACTGGATGTCTCACAACTAACCAATTATATTACTCACTATGGTCCCTTTCTAACGTACTTCTATAGTTTTAAGAACTCAGATACCAATATCTACATCAACAGAAATGAAAGCTGCCCTGATCATTTGCTTTCTAGAGGCCACTAACTGCGGCAAATCATCTGTGGCTTCATAACTCTGATACATATAAGAGATTTAGAACCACCAACTGAATAGGAATTATCAATATCTGAAGAATGATAACATTCATAGTGGCAGTGGGACAATATATCTATTAACAGCACTAGGCAAATCACCGACACTTCTACATTTCTTTTCAGTAAGTGAACAATTAACATAACTAAAGTTATGTGCTATGATAACAAGCATTACACTTTTGAAATTATGGGCCTAACTTTCAGTCTAATTTTAGTTTTAATTAATTTATTTATTTTAGTTTAATTTTAATGTTATATATTACGCTGGCTTGTAACATGAAAATGTTCATCATGTACTGAAAAAATCATGTATAATGTATTACATATGTACTCTCAGGCTATGTCAAAATATTTTTATTACAATAAACCCCCCATATCCCCCTAATGGTAAGGCAGAGACAATTCTTGCTAACTTTTGGTAGCTTTCTAGAGTCTGCTCTTTGTCAGCTGACTATATAGGTGAAAATGTCGAACAAGAAGCAAAGGAAATAAACATGACAACAGATATAGAAAGATAAAAGTATCAGTAAAACTACCATTTATTTAGGTGTTAGTTGAAGAGTTATAAGTTATAAATAACCAATTTCCTTCTTCCACAAAACCCGCCATTTTTGGTAACTTGATACTCTCAGGCTCCCATTAGGTAGAGTTTGTGGAAATTTATTTATTACAGTGAAAATATGATGAGCAACAACTAAATTTTAAAACAATAAAAAAGAATATATTTTTGCCTCATTCCTGGAAACTAAAGCTATTGATAACACATCGTTCAATAAGTTCCGGGACTAACTAAGAAAACAACATCCATTTCATAAAATTCACGTTTATTCCTCAACACAATCACCATCAAGAACTGTGCAATCATTCCAACACTTTTCTAACTTTTCGATACTATGCTTGTAAAATGATTTGTCCTTGTCCGCAAAATAAGCTTCAGTGGCAGCGATGACTCCCTCATTCAACCCATATATTTTTCCCTGGAGCGTCTTTTTCAGATCAGCAAACAGCCAGTAAACATTGGGGGGCTAGATCTGGGAAGTATGGTGGGTGGGGAAGCAGAGCGAAGCCCAACTTGTTCAATGTAACCAGTGTTTGCATTGACTTGTGGCACGGGGCATTGTCTTGATGGAAGAGGTTTTTCTTCTTCATATGCAGTCATTTTTTTGCAATTTCGTCCTTCAGACGCACTAATAACTCACCATACCTGCCAACCTCTAAAGATAAAATTTCAGAAGATTTCTCCCCCAAATTCAGAAGAATTCTCCAAAATTCAGAAGAACACGAAGAATTATTATCATGCTTTGAGATTAAAAAACTAACAATTTATACAATAGAAAAAAGAAAATTGTACTTACATTAGTAAATCTCAATTAAGGAAGTAACTAAAATTTATTAGGAAACATAAAACAAGAACTTAATGTTACAACAAAAAAATTATTGCAATGAATTTTGAGTGCATTTTTTTGGCTTTAGCCAAAATTCTTCGGAAATTTCCTGTCATAACAATTAGTTTCCTCATAACATTTAGCAATTAAAATGTTTTTCTAGAGTTTTTTGGTGAAATTGAATACGAAACATAGTTTTGTTTTTTCTTCACAACACTCAGCATTACTGTGTGGAATTACGAGAATAGCACATAAACTCTTGCTAGTCTATCATATTTTGGTGTTCCATCAGCTCTTTTTAATTCTTTTTAAGGTACCAACGAGGACATCAAGTCTATCTTCTCCAGAACTGGCAAGTCTTCAAACTGTGCAGCAGAAAATTGGTTCTGTAGTTCATCTAAAGCATCATTATGGCATTCATTTTCTTTAATTGTTAACAAAAATGGAAATTTATCAATAATAAATAAATAAAAAAAAAAAAAACGAATCTTTTCAAAAAATGAATTTTCAATTTGTTTCAAATTTGCCACTTCAGCATTTAACAGAACTTCAGTTTGCAAAGGAAACTTCCTTACAATGTAATCACAGGCTGAGGAAAAGTGCTTTCTAACACATTGAAAAAATTCTTTTTTCTCATGATCTTTCAAAGAATTTACAAGTTCCCTGGTTTGATTTCCAATTATAAGATCATTGTCATCCTTTTGATTTGCCAAACTATTATAGGCAACACAAATCAACACACTGTTTTTCACAGTGTGTTTCACAGTATTAAAATATAATCTGGCGCCCACAAAGAAAAGAGTAGGAGAAACAAGTTCAGCGCATTAGATTGGCTGGTTAAGCGGCGAGTTGAGAGAAACCCCAGGTTACTGGATTCGAAGTAGTTGGTAGTTGGCGGTAAAACACGATGCAATTGACGAAAATCGCTGAATTGGCGAAAAATTCTACAATTTTGACAAAAATCACTAAAAACACTTGAAAAAGGAAAAAAATCGTAAAAAATGGATTACGATCGTAAAATCGTAAAGACAAACGCATTTTCGTAAAAATTACGAAAAATTCGTAAAAGTTGGCAGGTATGACTCACTGTAGTAGGCTCTATTGATAAGATTTTCCCTTTTCAAGGTGGCCAAGGTAAATTATACCTTGTGAATCCCAAAACACTGATGCCATGACTTCGCCAGCTGACTGTTGCGTTTTTGGACGCTTCTGTTTCAAAATATTCTAAGATCTATAAA